TGTGTGTAATTATAGACTTAATATATATATACTGCTATTTCGTGTGATGTGTGCATGCGAAGAACGAGTTTCTCCAGATAATCGTCCTACAACTACTTGGGTGCCCATATTTGAGTGGTCTTTGCGTAAAGAATTGCCGAACCCAGCAATGTGTTTAATATTCGCGGACCTATCTACGAGTTCACGGATAAGTCTCCATGTATTCAGGAAACGCTTCTCATTCCATCGTACGATTCTTCTTGACTTTACAATGCATGAAACGAGACAGGGCCAGCTTTTTCCCCCAGGCACACCAATATAAGACAAGAACCTTCAAACGAAAGAGGGGCTGTAAACCAATAGGATATGTTTTAGCACGTGCTCGGCAGCTACGGTGCTGTGTACTGAGTTAATTGACTCTCTAATGTCTGCAATATTGGAGACAGGTGTGAGAGCGAGAATGACCACAAATACACGCACACCTCCAAACTCAAATGCGGATCCTATGGTTTCATATACATCAGCAATGTATATTGTAATAAGGCAACTCCAACTTTCTGGATCCCCACGGTGGGACGCGTCTCTGTAGTATAAACGGGGTTTATCCGAAGCGCCGAAATGCACTTTAAAACATATTTGAAACAGACACCGACTGACTGTGTAGTTCCCATGAACTCCACTCAATTAGTGTCTGCTGCTCGAGCCAGCAATCGTACACTAACACGCTGCGACCGGCCACCTTCGGCCTTCCTATGCCTGTGATGAAGCACAGAGCCGACTGCCCACTGCCTGGCACAAACTAGCATCACACAGTGGTTGTGTGTGAGAATAGTTAACACACACGGAAACGCTCGGCTATGGTTAAATCACCACAGTACATGGCCCATAGCGGAAGAACGACGTTGGTGTGGCGGTTGATGAGTGTTGTGAAGTGCACGATGGTATCTCAATGTCGCACGATGGTATCTCAATGTCATTGATCCGCCAGCAAGGTGTGTGTCTGCAGCGGGTATGCACCGATATCCACATTCGAAGCTGCATACATGCATGTACTATGCTTTCACATTCGAAGCTGCATACGTGCATGTTCTATGCTTTCACATGAAGCTGCATGCAAACATGTTCTATGCTTTGTCATCGATAGTGTGAGTATACCATACACGCCGAGGATACCAGTGCCTGTTTGAACAAGATGGACGTTTCCATCTCCGTGAGACTTCCATATATGCCCTTGTCTATGCAAGCCGTACAGTTCGTTATGAATGCGATGTCGTCTCAGTTTGCTTCTGCCATATCACTGGGTGGCTGTGTGCTCCTACCGCTGCTCGTTAGTGTTTTGGTTTGCACATACGTCATCTGCTCTACACGCACACACGTCCACTTTGCTGCGTGCACGGCAACAGCATGCTCCCCAAATACCTAATAGGGACGTCTGTGGCATCTGACAGCCGGATATCGAGAAAAGGCAGCACGTGCTACGCCTGGATTGAATACATGCCACACAGTTGGAAGACAGGAAGAGTAATGCTAGACAACCGAGTCTCTCTCACACGTCTGCTCTCTGCCTTTACAGTCCCAATGAAGGTGTCCTGGGTGCGTATATTTTAGGGCTTGATTTGTATCGCGGCGCAAAGTACGACCCTGATGGTGGTGTCTTTGGCAGGCGGGTGTGAGACCGGCCCTCCGTGTCACAGTGTCAGGGCAGGTGCATTGTGGCCCAATATATTCTCGGTGTACTGATGATGCATGGCACCAGGCTGCCACACAACAACCGGGGCAGAATGTGCCAACGGGTGCAACCCAGGGGGCCAAATTAAGGGCCTACGATCACTCGACCCCGGGGAATGAACTCCAACAGTTATGTAGCACAGACTATGCACAGATAAATAACCACTACAGCCCAGGGCGCTGCTGTGTTGTCGGTATAGTGATACATATCGTCGTGATGGATTTCTCCAGGGACCCACAGGCGTGATCCAGGAGAACGCTGCTCTGGTGCATAATGTAACCCGAAGTGCACAGGCGAACAATACAGTCGCAATCATAAGATGTGACTAGAGTATATGGGTTGTAACTAGATTGTAAGAGTCTCTCCGCATCTCCCTGTGATATGCAACGCACCGACTGAGGTCACGAGTGCGACGCGTTGGCTGTGGTGGCGAATGGATGTGGCAATGGGCAACACATGGATGTGTGTGTATGTGTATGTGTTTACTAACCCCTTGATGTAGTCCCTATCCTCACACTGCAGCATACGTTCTTCAGACTGCAACATAGGTGCTTCACACTGCAGCATACGTTCTTCACACTGCAGCATACGTTCTTCACACTATAGCATAGGTCTATTCTGGTGGTCTGGTGTACGGGTGTGGTTCTTCGCCAAAACATCTGTGCGATGTTCTCAAAAGCAATCAGACATACTGGCACTCAGTCGGTGTGTGTCGCCGCGAGACTCCGCGCGATCCCACAGCGACGACCTCGTTGCCCTGATGGGCGTACTGGTGCGTGTGCTGCCCGGACCTTTGATGATACTCAGATTACTACTGGAGGTGTCCTGTGACCTGGTTCCTGGGCTTTTTTTGGCCTGGGTCACCCCGGTGCAGTATGTTGAGGTTGTGGGTGCATGCTGTATGGACATACGCGTCAGTTCATCGAAGGAACCGGTGTAGATCGCCAGTAGTTTGTCCTCACGCTCTCTGCTCATTTGCAGATACTTCATCAGCTGTGAATTCGGCAGAAGGCAAACATTCGATATCTCGCAATACACACATATATATCGATATATCGATATACAT